CATTTAAAAGGCTCCTGGGAAACGAAATTGTTTCTATGAAACAAAACTGCCATTGTTGGGAAGAGGTGAATGCGGGGGAGGGAGCCCACCGCACCCCTCCTCCTCCTCCCAGAGCTCAGAGCTGGGTAGGAGAGAGCTGCAGGCGTCTAGTGAGGAGGCTCCCAGGATGGCTTCCAGAGCTACAAGCAAGGGACCTTAAAATTCAGGTTTCCAGAAATTTCACCCCTGGGAATTTCCAAAGTTTCCCTCTTGAACTGCTCTGCCTGTGGGAAGTTGTCAGTCGACTTTCAGGGATCTCTTGGAGCGGGTAGTGAGGTACCAGGAGGGTGGTGGCTCCTGAGAGCCCTGCTCCAGGCCCACAGCTGTGTGGTCACCCTGTCCTCCTTAGTCCCGCCAAGACGCATCGCTTTCCCCTAAAAATGTCCAGCCGAGTCACACCTGATGGCCTTTCTGCCAGCTTTGGGCAAGACCTTCCTGCTTTCCTCACCCCAGGGTGCTCTGCCCAGCAGCGAACAGGCCACCCTCATTCTGGTCTGATAAACTCCTCCTTACCCAGGGGAAGGAGAGGCTCAGGGAGCTCAAAGCTGCCAAGAAGTGACAGGAGGCAGCATGGGGAGGGGGGTGATAAGTCTAGTGGATCTTTACCCAGAAAGGAAGCACCCTGCGTGTCCGTCTCCAGAGGGCTGCTGCTGTGGCTGGCAGGAACCTGGAGCTAGTTACCTCTCCAGGTGGGTAAACTGCCTCTGTAGCCCCTGCCTGCAAGCTCCCAGCACCCCCGTTCTTGGATCAGGGGCTCAGGGAGTGACCTCTATCTTGGAGCCTGTGACTGTGCTGCTGGAAATATTCATGGAGTACATACTCCTCCCTCCCGCCAGCCCCTCCCCACCCACACAGAGGAGGAAGCTTGGGGACTGCAGAAGGAAACATGTTCACTGTCCGTAATTTTATTGCTCAGGGGAATTGATTGTTTTAGTGTCCGAGTCTGCAGGACTAGGGAATGCTGTGACCAGCATCGGCATGGCCATTGAGGGCTGTGTGACCCATGGGCCATGGCTGAGAAGCAAAGTGATTCTGATACAAAGACAGTTGTGGAAGTCTGCACGGAGCCCTGACCCTGGTCTCACTCCGAGCCTTGCCTTCTGCTCCCTCCTCATTCCAGATCATCTTGATCATTGCATTCCTATGCTCCCTGCTCTCCAGCCCCTGCTCCACTGCCCCGCTGTGACCATCATCAGTGACCATCAGAAGTTCTGGTGGAAAAAACAGTGCCACACACTACACAAACTGCAGAACAGCTCATGAGCCGACAACCTAATTCTGAATGAAATAGATTCAATTGTTAAAATGTCTGATAAAAGTCAGGACTGAGAATAACTTGGGAGGAATGAAAATCCAAGCTGGGAAGGCTTCCTGGAAGAGGTAACCTTGAGCCTAGACATTTGCAGCTGGAGCCAGAAATCCATCCCTAGCTTTTATGTGAATATTGCTCGCTGCCAGCCTGGTCTTGCTGCTGTCCTTCCAGCTGTGCCTTTGAGCCTCCAAGTAGCACCACCAGAAAGGTGCCTGACTTCCTTAGCCTGAACCGCTAGAGAGAGTCCCCCAGAGCTGAAATAGCCCCCATATTCTCTGAAGGACCCGTCTCCATTGTCTGCTTCCTGGTGCTTCCTGGCCCTGTCGCCAGGGTTATGATTGCCGACTCTCTCCCCCCTCCCCCAGGGAAGTGATTTTCCTCTCCCTTAAAAGCCATTTTCTTGTCTTGGTAGAAGCAGACATCTGACACTTTAAGAGGGAGCATGGTGGGGAGATGATGGCTTTAAATAACAGAAATTAGAGCTGCTGAGTTCGACTCAGCCATCTCGCCAGTCTCCTTTCCCCTCCCTCGCACGCATTCAGAACTGCAGCCTGAAGAGCACCATCCATGTGGCATGTGGCTCGGGTGGCCAGGGCATTCTGGGACCTGGAGAGCAGGAGACAGCTTCTCCTGAGTTCACAGCTCCTGCCTAGTCCTGTGTTAAACCGTAGGATACCAGGCCCTGAAGTCAGGGAGCTTGCAGTCTAAGGGAACAGAATGTCACCTAGGAATGCAGGTGACATGCATCTCATTTTACAAGCTCAGCATCCAGCACAGAGCTGGGCATGCAGGAAGTGGTCAAAAGTATGTGTTGATTGACTGATGGGTGAATTATGGACTGAGGCCACAGTGGGCCGTGTCAACAGGCTGAGTGACTAGGCAAGAGAAGCTGATCCCTGGTCATCCTTGTCATTATCCTGGTACACGCTGCCCTGTCGCTTGGCCTAAACCACAGCTCAGATCTGGCCTTTCTTCCACACAAACCCCTCTGGCGTTCCCCACTACTTCCTGAAATGAACATCCACCTCTGCTCTTCTGCTCTGGTGCCCTCGACCCCCTCCACTTTCTCCCATCCCCAGGGAGAGAGGCTCCACAGGTGGGCCAGGCGCCTCTGCTTGTCAGCTGCAGGCTCCAACCTCAGCTCATCCTCTGCTGCCAGCCGAACCTCCCCCTTTTCTTTACCCAGTGCATTGTGGTCCCTCCTCCTGGAACACCCTCCCCAGAGCCCAGGATTGCTGTCCCTAAATCTTACCCCCGTAGCATGTATTCGGCAGAGTTGGCATTTAACAAATGTTTGATGGATGAATGAATGGATTAAAGAATGAATGAATGAATGAATGAATGGGAAGTTCACCTCAAATGACCCCTCTTCCAAGAAGCCATTCATAGGCACCAAAATCTGACATGCATACTCCCTCACCAGAACTCTCCTGCCAGCCATGCCCTACAGGACCATGGATGATGCCCTCACTATGCCCACTGTCCTCAAGCCAGGCGACCCCCTGAGCTTAGGGGGCTGATCAGTTTTGGATCCTGTGCACTATTATGCACTGAGGTCTCCAGGAAATGCTGTTGACATTAAATGGAGTCAAGCAAACCTTGGGCCTGTTTCTCCACCTGTCAAATGGGCAACTACTCGCTCTACCAGCTGCTGTCTGCGCTGGCCGTGAGGCCTACTAGACACGCTCTCTGGTCACAGAGCATGGCCACAGGGGAGAAGCCTCCTATATTTTGGATGAGGACTAGACCCTCTCACCTGGGTCCTGGGTTGGGGCCGAGCCCCTCCTGGGCAGGGTGGATGCTGGATGGGCTTGAGGATGGGCACACAGAGGAGATTTGTGTTCCCTGGTCACTTGGGGCCTTCCGCAAAATCTGGTGAGAACAAGGTTGGGAACTGAAGAGCCTCAGGGATCACTAACCCACAGGGCAAAAGAAACCCCACTTAGCTGGCTATCTGATTTGTGTGGCCTTTGCTCATTTTCTGTCTGCCCCTTCAAACTGAGACTCTCGTGTCCATTCGCAGACTGCATGTTTCCCAGACTGAATGTGGCAGCCTTGGGAGCTCCTCTGCTGCTCTGCTCAGCTCGGGACAGGGGCCAGCCTGGCTTATGAGGGAGGCTGGGTCTTGTGCCCAGTGAGCCCAAATCTGAACTAGGACACAGGAAGCACCCACCTGCAGCCTGGGGAGCTGGGGCTCTGGGCATGGTGACATCAGTTCTGGCTGGCCAGCCCCCGGAGTGCTGTCTGAGATTGGGGGCTGAGGGTCCCGGTGCACGTGGAAGGCCACACTGTAGGCCAGGCCCCCACAGTGGCGGGCTGTGGGGTCCGCACTGGCCCGGAGCAGAGCCAGGTTGCCACAGTAGCGGTACAGGTCCTCGTGGTCCCGAGCCTCAGGGTTCATGCGGGGTTGGTCCGGCCTCGGGTAGATGGGGAAGATGGCCTCACCCACCCGCTGGGTCGTCCGTCCTGAGGGTTCGTCCAGCCTCAGTGCCTCCACGCGCAGCTGAGCGTCATGCTGCCCGTCATTCTTGCAGAAACCTGGATGAGGGAACACAGGGCTCAGAGATGATCTCAGGTTTCTCTGCATCTGCTGGGGGACTAGGAGGACAGGGAGGGCCCTGGGGAAACCTGGGCTGCCCAGCCTTTGAGTGAAAGCCAAGCAGTCTTGGCTAAGATTTCCCTGGTGGGCAACTCCCTCCTAGGCCCCTAGCAGATGCAGAGAAACCCTCCCTGGGCTCCCTCCCTTTGCTGATACCCAATCCAAGCCCACCTGGCAGGGGTGAGGAAGGGAGGGCTTAGCCTGTGGGATGATCCCAGGTCCTCCCACCACCCTAGACTCCTAGACTGGGGAAGAGTTCAGCCTGCCCCTGATTCATGGCCACTTAAAGTCTGCAACCTGGCTTCCCCATTCCCCCACATCCCTCCCCCTCCAGGCAGCCTGCTGGGGTGGCCTCACAGTCTAGGTATAGATCTTCTCATTCCAGCTCACTTTACTTCTCTCTGCTTGGAGTTCCTGCCCCTTCACCTGCTCTGGAAGTTCCAGAAGGCAGGGCCCAGGCTTCCTGGGCCCTGGGTCCCCTTATTTCTGTCCACCCTCCCCATACCCACAGTCAAGTGGGGCTCAGGACCAGACACTCAGTTGGCTGAGTCTAACGTTACTCAGTGTGATGTCCACAGCCGAGGACTGGCCCCCAAACCCACTGTGTGATCAGCACTCTTACGTTTACAAAGCCATTTCTCATCTGCGCTTCTATTTCCTTCTCACCTGACCTTGCGTGATGGGCATCAGCGTCCCCATGCCACACTGAAGGAGGAGCAGGTCACAGAGGCCCAGAATTTGCCCAAGGTCACACCGACAGAGCTTTGGGATGCAGTCTGGAGCCCCACCCCTCCCAGTTCTACTGAGGCTCTCTGGGGTCCCAGGGTGGGGAGTGGGGCTAAGGCAGGGGTTCCAGGGTCTTTCTCTCCCCTAAGCCCCACCCCCACTTCATACCTTTGGGCAGAGTAAAGATAAACTTGTTCCTGGTGAGGGTGAGGCTCTGGCCAGGTTCCTGCTGCTCAATGACATCAGTGACAACAGAGCAGGCACGGAGGGGATCACCATCATTCACTTGCAACTGCACCCCAGCCCCAGAGCCTGCCTGCAAGGGGTTCTCAGCTGACAGTCTTAGGGCATATCTACCCCCCTCATTAAACCCCACGCTCAAAACTTCGAACTCTAGATCCAGGGTCTTCTCCTCCGCCTTCAGTCTCCGGCTCAGCAGGGATGCCAAGACCCAGGGTTCAGGCCCCCTGAATGCCATGCCACGGGGAGATCGACTGCCAGGCTGAGCACTGCGCCCTCTCACCCACAGCCCAGCCTGGGCCCAGTCTGAAAGCCTGCAGGCTGGGTGCTCAGGGCCACTCCCCACCCACCTCTGTTTGTTTGAGGAGAAACCAGGTAACAAGGCAGGAAGCTGGGCCTGACCCAGGAAACTCTTCCTCCATCAATCCCTTCCCTTTAGCATTTGTTCCTTGAACAAATATTTCTTGAGCACCTACTGCGTGCCAGACACTATTTTAGGCGTTTGGAATCCAGCAGCGAACCAAACAGTAACTCCAGCCCTCTGAAGTTTATCTTCTAGTGGGAGAGGTGGGTAGAGACAGACAAAAATTAACACTAAACATAGAACATAAGTAAATTATAATGTATACTAGAAGATGCTAATTTTTTTTTTTTTTTTTTTTTTGAGGTGGAGTTTTGCTTTTGTCTTACAGGCAGGCTGGAGTGCAATGGCAGCGATCTCGGCTCAGTGCAACCTCCACCTCCTGGTTCAAGCGATTCTCCTGCCTCAGCCTCCTGAGTAGCTGGGATTACAAGCGTTTGCCACCATACCTGGTTAATTTTTTTTGTATTTTTAGTAGAGACAGGGTTTTGCCATGTTGGCCAGGCTAGTCTCGAATGCCTGACCTCAGGGGAGCTGCCCACCTCAGCCTTGCAAAGTGCTGGGATTACAGGTGCTGGCTACTATGCCTGGCCCAAAGATGCTAAATTCTATGGAAAAATTGAAAGCAGGTTGAGGATGAAGATTCTGGTATGGGGAGCATGTGGATATGTGATATCCAGAACTTCCCATTCGGGGAGAGCCTGTCTCTATGTGCCTATTCATTCCCATTGACTTGGGGTGCAGGGAGTCTCAAGGGAAGGGAGACCGTGTCTATTTTCAGGGAGCAAGCACTTAACTTAGTTTACTTTCTTCTTCTTCTTCTTTTTTTTTTTTTTTTTTTTTTTGAGGCAGAGTCTCGCTCTGTCTCCCAGGCTGGAGTGCAGGGACAGGATCTCAGCTTACTGCAACCTTCACCTCCCAGGTTCAAGCCATTCTGCGTCAGCCTCTCAAGTAGCTGATACTACAGGCGTGTGCCACCACAACTAGCTAATTTTTGTATTTTTAGTAGAGACAGGATTTCACCATGTTGGCCAGGATGGTCTCAAACTCCTGACTTCAAGTGATCCATCCACCTTGGTCTCCCAAAATGCTGGGATTACAGGCATGAGCCTCCACACCTGGCCTTATTTACCTTCTTAATTAGGACTTACAATGGGAGGCACAGCTTCACTTTGCAGACAGCCCAGACCCTCATACCAAAGAGTTGTCAAGCCGGAATCTATTCTTCCTGACCCTGGGTCTTGGTGTTATCCAATGGGAGATGAGAGATTCAGGACTCCCCTCAGTAAGAACTATCTTACCATCACCACCACTACCATCACCACCATCACCACTACCACTACTGCCACCACAACCACCACAGTCACCACCACCATCACCGTCGTCACCACAGTCACCACCACCATCACCATCATCACCACCACCACAGTCACCATCACCAGTACCGTTA